GCCGTCAGGGCGGGGTGGCCAGGGCCGCTGCCGCCGGTGGGCACCTCTGGGACGACCCGGGGCCGTTCATTCTCGCTGGGACTGTGGAGCCTGGTGTGGTGGACACACCAGACCCGACCCCCCGGGCACGGACCCTGGAGGGTCCATCTCTTCCCCGCTGGCACATCTAGCCCCCACCCCCCAGGCCTCGCCTCGCTGACCCGGGCAGCTTGCGTCCCCCAGGGCCAGAGTGAGGCGGCCCAGGGGACTGAGGGGTCTCCGACGGGGATGAGGGCCACTGTGTCCTGCAGATGGGCCTCAGCCAGCTCGCCCGCCTCCCCGGGGGGCCGTTGGGGACGCTGCTCTGCTTGGCTGTGGCCTCGGGCCCCACCAGTCGTCTTTGTTCTGGGGGGGACTGTCTGGACGGCTGGGTGCCCCCGACTGCTACTCACCTAGAGGTGGGGGTGCAGCTTCGTCGCCTGAAGCCTGCCTCGGCTCCAGGAGGGTCCTCGAAGCCACAAAGCCGTCCTGTTTCTGCCCGAGGAGTGGCGGGACTCCGAGTGTGACGCAGGGCCGTGCCCTGGTCCCCTCCCTGGTGCGGGGCTTCGCGGGCCGGGTGTCAGCGTGTGGGCAGAGGGCGGCCCCGTCACTGAGGGCTGGGGAGGGCTTGGCTGCAGGTGCTGGCCACGGGGCACTCTGCCCAGCGCCACCGCTCCTGTGACCCACTGAGCTGTTTCCTTGGTTGCTCCGTGGGAATCGAGGCGAGCGGCGTGGGCAGGAAAGAGCCACTTACTTGGGGGCCGAAGTTCAGGGGCCTGGCGTGGGGGGAGGACTGTGGCCGTGCGCCAGGCCTCCGTCTCTCCCGCAGAGGGGTGCGGCTCTCCCCCAGAAGGGCCACAGCACAGCCTGCGCTTGGCAGTGAGGAGCGGCGCCTGACCTCGCAGCCCGCTGCCCAGCGGCCAGCCGGCTCAAGGACGCCCGGACAGCAGGGCGCTGTTCGTCTCCCGCTTCTGTGGTCACCCCCACGCAGCCGCCATGGCGGTCCTGGCTCCCGGCGTCCTCGGGGTGTCGCGTGTGGGTGCCCGTGCAGGGTGCCAGGTTCCAGCGTTGTCTGCTGCGGGCTGGTGGGCTGGTTACAGCCAGCCCTGCCCAGCCTGGGGGGACCCCGGCCTCCCGGCCTCCTTCCCCCTGCCCCACTCCCCACCGCCCGTTTCGGGGTTTCCTTAGGGCCTGGCCTGGCCTGCAGGTGGCAACACCGGGCTGTGCTGGGTCCAACTGCGCTGGCAGTGGGCTGCTGTGCAGCCTGGACAGCTGGGGCCGCGGGGCCCGGGTTTCTTTCAGAGTGGAGCGCTCATGTCCAGACATGGACGACGACAGCCTGGACGAGCTTATGGACCGAAGCCCAGGGCCGGGTGTGCCCCCACCGCTCATCCCGGCTGCCCTGGCCGGAGATGCTGGTGAGCTGCCCCCCCGGCCGGCCGTCCCTCCTGGGGCCGCCTCACGCCCGCTCGCTGGTCTCTCGGCAGCGACCTTCTGCCTCCGGCAGAAACGGCCGCTCTCCGGTGTTACCTTTAACCCGAGACGCGTAGTTGACTGGACAGGAAGGCGCCCAGGGCCCCGCGCCGCGGTCACCAGCTGCCTGCCTGTCCTCTAGGCGGCGGCTCTGAGGAGGACTCGGGCAGCGAGTGCAGCGCCAGCAGCGACGGGGACGCGGAGGACGGCTCCCTGGACGGCGGATCCGGTGAGCGGCCCGAGCGGCCTCCCTGCTGGGCCCCTGTTGCTGCGGCGGCCTGTGCCGGCTGTCGGCCCAGCGTCCTTCACCTCCTGGCCAGTGTGCTGTGGGCGGCGGGCGACGCGCCCCTGCGAGCGCGGCCGGGAGTCCAGTGCGGTGCCTGGCGATCAGGAAGCTGGGCCGTCCGAGGGGGCACCTGCGCCGAGGCCTCCTGGCAGGACGGGCAGAGGTGGCCCCTTCCCACCGCCCAGCGGGCCCGAGTCTCCCGGGGCCCCTGCTTTGCTGCCCCCGGAACCGGCCCCCAGGGCCCCTCTCCGCAGCTCCTCGTTCTGACCAGAGCGGCCAGCAGCGGGTCCGGACGCGGCCCGCACCGTGCAGACACGAGCACGCGCGGCCGCCTGCCCTTCTGGCGTCGGCTGCAGCGTG